TCACATATCTCTCACCCCATCTTAAACATAGTCACACGTCTCTCACTCCATCCCACACATAGTAACATGTCTCTCACTCAATCCTACACATAGTCATACGTCTCTCACTCCATCCTACACATAGTCATACGTCTCTCACCCCTTCTACGCCTGGTCACATGCCACTCACTCCATCCTACACATGGTCACATGTCTCTCACCCCATCCTACACATGGTAACATGTCCCTCACTCAATCCTACACATGGTCACATGTCTCTCACTCAATCCTACACATAGTCACATGTCTCTCACTCAATCCTACACATGGTCACATGTCTCTCACTCCATCCTACACATAGTCATATGTCTCTCACTCCATCCTACACATAGTCACATGTCTCTCACTCCATCCTACACATAGTCACATGTCTCTCACTCCATCCTACACATGGTCACATGTCCCTCACCCCATCCTACATGTGGTCACATCTCTCTCACTCCGTCCTAAATATGGTCACATCTTTCTCATCCCATCCTACACAGAGTCATACGTCTCTCACTCCATCCTACACATAGTCATACGTCTCTCACCCCTTCTACGCCTGGTCACATGCCACTCACTCCATCCTACACATGGTCACATGTCTCTCACCCCATCCTACACATGGTAACATGTCCCTCACTCAATCCTACACATGGTCACATGTCTCTCACTCCATCCTACACGTAGTCACATGTCTCTCACTCCATCCTACACATGGTCACATGTCTCTCACTCCATCCTACACATGGTCACATGTCTCTCACTCCATCATACACATGGTCACATGTCTCTCACTCAATCCTACACATGGTCACATGTCTCTCACTCCATCCTACACATAGTGATATGTCTCTCACTCCATCCTACACATAGTCACATGTCTCTCACTCCATCCTACACATAGTCACATGTCTCTCACTCCATCCTACACATGGTCACATGTCCCTCACCCCATCCTACATGTGGTCACATCTCTCTCACTCCGTCCTAAATATGGTCACATCTTTCTCATCCCATCCTACACAGAGTCACATGTCACTCACACCATCCTACACATAGTCACATGTCCCTCACCCCATCCTTTACATGGTCACAGGTTTTTTACCCTCATCTCCTAACGGCCTCGGACGAACCCAGCGTGCATAATCGTGATTATCCTACATTCTCTATCGAAACATAACGTTCGTCCTAAATTCGAGCATCTTAAGTTATCAAGTTTTCAAGCGTCCTCGTTCTTTAAAACTTTCATAGTTCAAGGTAAGATTATACATTATGACTCTGCACACTGGGTTCGAGCAAACCTGTTTAAAACCCACTAACTTTAAACAATATCAAGCTTGTCTGGTTCGCATGACAAGTTCCCCCATGTCCCCATTCCACGAACAAAACACAACGTTCGGGAACGATATCGATGTCATTTTATTGTGTGGGTAAGGAAACATTCGTAAAATGCTTGTATAGTTTCCAAGTAGGCGTGGTCACATGTCTCTCACCCCATCCTACACATAGTCACATGTCTCTCACCCCATCCTACACATGGTCACATGTCTCTCACCCCATCCTACACATGGTCATATGTCTCTCACCCCATCCAACACATAGTCATATGTCTCTCACCCCATCCTACACATAGTCACATGTTTCTCACCCCATCCTACACATAGTCACATGTCTCTCACCCCATCCTACACACAGTCACATGTCTCTCACCCCATCCTACACACAGTCACATGTTTCTCACTCCAATGCTTGTATAGTTTCCAAGTACGCGTGGTCACATGTCTCTCACCCCATCCATCAAGACTGGGAGATGTGGAGCCACTGTTTACATTGGAATCTGTCTAAACCGGCCTAAACGTTCAGTTCGACAAATTTCAGAGTATTGATTAGTGAGTAGGTCGCATAATTTACGGCCTGGTTCTCAAGATATAACCACGCATGACTGAAGACATAAATGAACCATTTATGTATCAAAAATATTAACCTATCTTACTGAGATTTTTACACACGAAAAGGAAAATAATATTCCTTACAGACCTTTCATCAAACACTATTAATTAATGTTTGTGAAAATATAAACGCCTAACGTTGAGAATGCCTTCAGTGCTTTGAGTGAGTGAGTGAGTATGGATTTACGCCGCTTCTAGTAATATTTCGGTAATATCACGGCGGAGGACATCAGAAGATTGGCTTCACACATAGTACCCATGTCGGGAATCGAACCCGGGTCTTCAGCGTGACGAGCCAACGCTTTAACCACTAGGCTTCCCTACTGCCCTCCAGTGCTTTGACGTTAAATAGTACAGGTCTTTTACACTACTACAGTGTTATTTGTAATAGTGTAAATATATTTGAAGTGAGCATTATTCGGTCACAGATCACGCTTCACTATTCAATACATCTAACGTTGTGAGGAAATGAGAATAGTGATCACTTATGATTGAAACCGTCGTCAGTGAAAGTCAACATCAGATCATAGGTGGACTACAATTGCGTTTGTTTTGTTTGTCGTTTAACGCCGCACTCAGCAATATTCCAGCTACATGACGGCGATCTGTAAATAATAGAGTCTGGACAAGACAATCCAGTGATTGACATCATGAGCATCGATCCACGCAATTGGGATCGATGACGTGCATCATCCAAGTCAGCGAACCTGACCACCCGATCCCGTTAGTCGCCTCATACAAGCATAGTCGCCTTTTGTGGCAAGCATGGGTTGCTGAAGACCTATTCTACCCCGGATCTTCCTTCGCAGATGAGAATAGCGATCACTTATGATTGAAACCGTCTTCAGTAAAAGTCAATATCAAATCATAAGGGGACTAAAATGGCGTTTGTTTGTTTGTTTGTTTGTTTGTTTGTGTGTTTGTTTGTTTGTTTGTTTGTTTTTCCGTCTGTCTGTCGCCCCTTTAGTCGCCTCTTACGACAAGCATAGTCGCCTTTTACGACAAGACGGATCTTCTCGCGTTGCTAAAATTGTTCTGTGTGTGAGTGAGTGAACGGGGTTATATGTCGCTTTGAAAAGTAATTTAGCAATAGCATGGCGTAGAAGGAACGCACAAAGTGAAGCAGGCCTTAGATGTTTACCACTTTAGCGAAACACACAGGTATGGTGCTGATAAACCAAAGAACACAGGGCGAATCTAGAATTCGAACCCCTGGTCAGCGGATCCTGTCAAACCGCCTTTGAGTATTGGCTGACCGTGCTCACACCTCGGAGTGAGTGAGTGTTCTTCAAAGCCACAATCAGCGATGTTCCAGCTACATATCGGCGGTCATAATTAATCTAATCTGGACAAAGCAGTCAGCCAAATCACTGATCCTGAATACCTATATTTAAAAGTCGATTTTGCGCCTAGCTTGAAAAATTAATATATGAAGATCCGAGATTACTTTTCCAGTGCCCTGGTGTCTTCCGAGTGCATCAAAAATTAAATATTTTGACTTTTTACCAACAATGCTAAAATATTTATTTCATGTTGCACTTTGTTGGTTTGCTCGTTTAAATCACACATTGTGACCAGCCGATCCACACATAGTCGACGCTATCCCAACTGCGTGGATCGATGCTCATGATGTCAATCACTGGATTGTCTGGTCCAGACTCGATTGATTACAGACCGCCGTCATATAGCTGGAATATTGCTGGGTGCGGCGTTAAACAACAAACAAACAAACAAACAAACATAGCCGGTTCTGGGCCACACAAACCAGTGGTTGACATTATGAGCAAAGTGCTGTCGTGGTACAGTGGCAGGCTTGTTTTAGTCACACATTGTGGCCACCCGATCCTCACGTGTCGACACGTAGGCTTTGTGTGTTGGTGTTTTACGCCGATGTCAACAATAGTCCAACTCAATAAATAATCCTCCAAACCAGTGGTTGACATTGTGAGCAAAGACCCACCCTGACGTGGTACATTGACAGGCAAACAAGTCACCTACCTCGACGATCCGAATGTTTGAGGTTACATCCGGCTAAATATATCCCAGAATCCCCACGAGATCGCGACCCGTGAAGATTCCGGGATAGGATAGGTCTTCAGCAACCCATGCTTGTCGTAAAAGGCGACTAACGGGATCGGGTGGTCAGGCTCGCTGACTTGGTTGATGCATGTCATCGATCCCAATTGCATCTGCATCCTCACTTTAACGGATGAATAGGATTTACAGAAATCAGACGACTAAACGCGTGTTCAATCAGTGGCCTTTATTTGACATGTTAATATGGCCTTTCACAAATGAAATTGTTGACACCTTTGCAGTCAACATCATTCCATTGATATCCATTGTCCTTCCTTATTTCAAGACAGTGTTCCGCATTAAGATAATTGCTGGGGTTTCCTGGTGACCAGTTGGTGTAGGTAAGGAGTCGATCCCCGACCCACACGTATCGCCCCTCCAGCCCAAGGTCACTCCCGCCGATGTAATAGTTGTCAGCTAAAAAGAGTGAGAGAATCTTATTCAACCTGATAGAAGATAAGATACAGTTTTGGAATGGTGAACAAAACATAGAACACACAGTTGTCAGCAGAGAATGTACTGTGTAACAAGGGTGAGTGTTTGTTTGTTTGTTTGTCTGTTTCTTTGTTGTTTGACGTCGAACTAAGCAATAGTCAAACTATGAGACGGCGGTTTGTAAATAGTCGAGTCTCGACCAGACAATCCAGTGATTGACATCATGAGCATAGATCCACGCAAATGGGATACAATGACATGCATCAAGCAAGTCAGCGGGACTGACAACCACATCCCGTTTGTCGCCTCTTAAAACACAGGTAGGCACCTATTCCAACCCGGATCTTCACGGGTCCAAGGGAAAAGACTTCGTTCATTGGAGGCATCGCATCAGCAATCTTCCCGAAATCTTTAGTGAAGTGTGCATGTTTCACAAGTTTGCAGAGACGCAGCTTATCCTAACCCCACACACCAACCCAAACCCCTACACAAATACTTAAAGGAAGGGAAAATATCAACGAAATGGATCCCAACGCCAATGGAAACCCTCAAAATGAATTCCTGTCTCTGTCATGTAAGTGTACATCCCGGTTAAGAGAAGTCTCTCACAAAACCCCAATCCATATGGAAGTATAGCTGCATATTAAAGATGATAAATCGTTGATCTGCGTCTGGTATGGTAAACTTACCCTTGCCTGTTCGTATTGCATAACCTCTGATAAAGGCATCCTCGCTAGCACCTGTGATGACGACCAGGTGGCTGCCCAAGAACCGGCAGATCGACTGAAATTAAATCACCGAATATTTTCCCAATACGAAACAATGCTGTAACTGGGCCGCGTTAATGTGTCTGTTTGTGCAAGTTGTATGTGTGTATGTGCATGTGTATGTGTGTATGTGTATGTGTGTATGTGTGTATGTGTGTATGTGTGTATGTGTATGTGTATGTGTGTATGTGTGTATGTGTATCTGCATGTGTATGTGTATATGTGTATGTGTATGTGTGTATGTGTATGTGTATGTGCATGTGTATGTGTGAATGTGTGTATTGTATTGTTTTTGTATGTATTTTTTTTTATGTATGTGCATGACCTGTGATGACGACCAGGTGGCTGCCCAAGAACCGGCAGATCGACTGAAATTAAATCACCGAATATTTTCCCTATACGAAACAATGCTGTAACTGGGCCGCGTTAATGTGTCTGTTTGTGCAAGTTGTATGTGTGTATGTGCATGTGTATGTGTGTATGTGTATGTGTGTATCTGTATGTGTATGTGTGTATGTGTGTATGTGTGTATATGTTTTTTCTGCATGTGCATGTGTGCATGTGTATGTGTATGTGTATGTGTATGTGTATATATGTATGTGTGTGTGTGTGTGTGTGTATGTGTGTGTGTGTGTGTGTGTGTGTGTGTGTGTGTGTGTGTGTGTGTGTGTGTGTGTGTGTGTGTGTGTGTGTGTGTGTGTGTGTGTG